AATAGAAGAAAAGCAACTGGAGATTTCTACACAGAGGAGGCTGAGAAGTTGCCTTATTCAGCCACAGAGCTGCTTTGGCTCAGTGGCTTCCCCTGGCTTCTTGCTGGGTTTTGATGGTTATCTAAAGAGGCAACTCATGAAATACTTGCGTGGATGTTGTTTGATGACCTTCAGGGGAACTGGTGTCTGCATGCATGCAGGTAGGTATGTCAGTCAGGAGTCCTAACCTTTTGGATACATGGACCCAGTTAGAACTTAAAAAAGAATACTATGGACTTTCTCACAAAATGGTTGCCATGGAGGCCTTGCCCATGTATAAAATGGCTACCAGGGTGAGTATGGCTGGTCACAATCACCCATTTTTCAAAAGTGAAAGAGGCTAAAAGATTTAACTCGCCCAAGAATGCAAGAACAAGGCAGAGGTGGAGGTTTAAAGGCAGTTCTAGAGAGTTGAACTTCACTTTGCCAGTCTCCTTTAAAACAGTTTAAAGAAATAAAATAGGAATCAGGAGGGTGCACACCAAGACAAGTGTTTATGTGCATACTGGCAGTCACAGGTATCAAGTTGGATGAATAAGTTAGTTCCATATACAGGACTGTTGATCACTCCATTCTATATGTTATTTCTTTACAGCTTTGTGCACCAGCAAAAAAAAAAAAATGTTAAAAACATGGATGCTTTTATATATGAGAACAGAATTATTTTTTTCATCAAGTTAATGCCAGTCAAAGCTTTCAGGATATAAAAATGCAACATTTTCTACAACACAAACATCTAAAGATCTTCAACTGGAAAGGTTCTCCAGAATTACATATAAACAAAAACAATTACAATTTAAAAATACATGACACAAAAGGATGGAGAAGGGGAAAAAAACCTCAGGCATTCAGTGCTTAATGTGTATATAATGACTACCTGTGATAGAAATGAACTGCTCATAAAACCAAGCTTTCGGATTACTTGAGTCTAGCTGCCTCTTACATGGAGGCAATCAAGCACAAAACCTTTCCTTGTTCTTTTCATTTTTGGAGTACTTTAAATTGATTCCAAGGTTGGCGAGAAAGGCTGACTGACAATGGCTATAGCACACAGTGCCTAATTAATTTTATCAGGTAATGTAAGCAGCTGTGTGACAGTGGAGAAAAGCATTTATGGGCTAACAAGCTAAATGGTGTAGGAACTTGGTGCTGCTTAGAATTTCTACCAAAACTATTTTTCCCCTTTAGAAAAAAAAATTCTCCTGGCAGATTGCCCTAAGAGTGAAAGCATGTAAAAATAGAGCTGGAACAAGAACTGGATCGAGCTGAATTTTTATAGACAGGGCAATATATGGTATTAAGAAGTCAAGAAGCATAGAGAAGGTTGGGACACATCTCCATTATGACATGAACTATTTGTTTAAAGCAGGTTTTACTGTGGTGATTCCCACAAAGAAGCCTGGGTGTTATGTTTTTCTGAGGTGCTGATACTTCTAGTCTAGACTTACTCATACTGGGACCCTCCAGATATATTGGAACTCAGTACTCTTTAATTCCCAGTGACCATACTCTGGTGAATGATGGGACTTAACACTCTACATCCTTGCATTTCCTGAGGGCTGTGACAGCCATATTTTGAAACCAGTTTGCAGTATGTACATTAGATGTGGAACTCTTTCCCAGAGCCAACCCAGGTCCCAGAGGGTGGGACAAGTTTTTTCCCACTTGTTGAGGCAGATGCAATCCTGTTTCGGGGGAGGGGGGGACATGGCAGCTGCTTTGGGTGCCAAACTCTGAAGACCCCAAAATGACCCTGCCCCCCAAGAGAGCCACTCACCCTCCTGTGCTGTCCTGCATGTTCATCTAGTCTCTCAGCTGGAGATCTGCTGGGCAGGTGAGTCATCTGAGGAGCTGCCCAGGGCAAATGCCGTGCTGGCCTGGTGTTTCTGGGTGAGGTGGCCATTACAGAAAAGTGTGGGGAGGATGGTGGCAGTGTCCGAGTGGTGGGGCATTAAAAGCAGAGAGGGTAGGGCATTCTCTACACAAGGGGCTTACTCTGCTGCTTTTCTGAGGTCTTGTCTGCTTTCTGGGAGGAAAAAAAATCAGCTTTCCATGGGTTCTTTTCCAGGGCGTTGCATTGCTCTCCCTTTCTATACTATTAACCAATCACAAGGTGGCACTGTGGTATAGCTGCATTATTGCAGATTTGTGATTTACACACTTTTATTCCAGTGTGTTGCAGTTTAAAATTTAATACCAGACTTTTCTTGCTCTGAGACAACCTGTTTAAAAGACTGGAAAACATAGGAGGGGTTCTGAGACAGTGTATGAAAAGGCTTTACAAACTCCTGTGAGGGATCACAAGAGCACAATGCATGTCTCCTGTCGACCCTTTAATATTCACCCAGCCCTGGACCACTGCAACTTGAGCTGGGACCAGTGGATGAAAATGCAAAGTGTTCTGTTCTTGCTGCAGCCTAGTTCTTCGTAATAGCAAGAGCAAATAAATGTATGCAGTATGCATCTTGCCAATGAAAGAAAGGAGCAACAACTCTCAAATTATCTGGGCCAGGGATGGGAAAATGGGAGGAGGATCATCTTGGGCAAAAAGGGCTGGGCCTCTGCCTGACCTTTGCATGGTGTCACAGCCTACCCCAACCTGGTGTCTTCCAAATTTGAACTGCAATTCCCATAATTCCCAGCCAACATGGCCAGTGTCTGGGAACTGTGGGAATTGCAGTCCAACATATTTGGAAGGCACCAGGCTGTGACAGCAGATGGCTGTACGGCATGAAGTCAGCTGCACTGCCTGCGCTCCTTCTGGTTCAGTGGTCTGTCGAGTGCTTTCTGCCATCAACTTATTCAGGGGAAATTACTGCAAATCTGAAAAGAAAATGGAAAACCTGCCATTGTCATTGGCTTTACGAGGGGCAAGCATGTGCCTTCTGGCATGTTGGTCATTCAGGAAGCATGTGATTATATTTCAATATCTCTCACTGCCAAAGCTCTCTAGGTGGTTCACAACATTTAAGCCACCCATCCAGATTTCAACGAGGCCTGACCCTGCTTAGCTTTCAAGTTTAGGCAGAACCAGATACTTAAGGCTATATGGAAGATGCTGATCAGCAACTTGAGTAAGCCAGACCCACAGAGAGGAATCCTAGCTTAGTGGCACATAATGTGTAGCATCCAGGTTTGATTCTGGCTATCTCCAGGTTCAAAGAAGCTTGAACTAGGAAACATTTTTCTGGAGAGTGCCATTCATTCACAGACCACTTTTCACTATATGTCTATAGCCTAGAAACATTATTCCCGATCTGGATGTGTGCATAAGGAATGGGCCTGTGAACTTTTCTACACAAGGCATTTGTTGTGTACTTGTGAATCCTTACGGTCATTTTTGGACTCTCTATGTAACATTGTGATTCTCCAGTTTCAGTTCTACTGTTTCCAGAGCATTTTTATGGCTTTTTTTTAAGAACAAGGATGATGGCATGCCTTCTTCCTGTTTACTGGAATTGTTCCACTATAACCCAGCTCTGCCTACAGTTTTGTAGTGAAAAAGCAGGAAAGGAAGAGCTCTTTATGTAGATCTCAGATCTCAGTGCTGTAGTGAAACCAAAAGGAGACTAATTAGCCAGTTTCAGCAGAAAAGTCCTGTAACACAAAAGGGAAGAATGTACGCATCCTTTCCCTTTGTGGACTACATTATTTATACTACATCCATCATTAGTGTGGTGTGGTTAGTGTGGTGTAGTGGTTAAGAGTGTAAGGCTGGCACTCGGGTGATCTGGGTTCTAGTCCCTGCTTGACCTCAGTGACTTTGAGCTGGTCACAGACACTCAGCCTAACCTACCTCATAGGGTTGTTGTTTGGGGATAAAATTGAGAGCAGCAGGAGAATGCTATAAGCCACTTTAGGTTCAGCATAAGAAAGAAGCAAAATATAACTCTAATAAATAAAATCATTGGTTTGCTGCAATGCTGCCTGGGCTACTGTGACACAAGTACAGGCTCCGTGGTGGTGTGTATATAATGCAGCATGGAAACTACAGAGGTGCCAAGCGGGTGGGAAGGTATCGAAAAAATACTCCTCCAGTGTCAGGAGTCGTTTTTCTTTAGTTTTTCTGCATTTAAGTACAGCTTGCTGAAGAGAGGCCTTGTGGACAGAGTTTAAGTTGCTCAGCCCTGACTCTAGTTTCAAGCATGAAGTAAAAGAGAATCATACTTCTTTTGAGCTTAACCAGAGAGAATTTTCCTCCAAAATGAGAAAGCACAAGAGCACTCTTCGCCTGTCTTTTCAGGAGAATGTACCTGTATTCATAAGACCACAACCCTATGCATGCTGATTTGGGAGGGTGCCTCACTGAAAATAACGGGCCTTATTTCTCAATGGATACGGGCTCTGTGGTCCTGCCTCACCTCTCAAATGAATTTGCCTTTCTGCATTTTCAGCAGTACCACAGCTGCTGCCAGGGGCAGCATCAGAGGTCACTATGGCTGGGCACTGCCAAGGGCCCACCCCTCAACCAGGGCCCACCAGCAAGAAGCTCCACGACTTGTTCTTCCCTGCATTATTGCAGCCTGCTTCTTCGCCTGCCTCTCGCTCTGGCCCAGGAGGAGCACGAGATGCCCCGCCGCCTTGCTGAGCGTTTCCCTGTGGTCAGCACGCATGTGGCTGCAATGCTGAGAAGGAGCGGGGAGCAAAAGCAGCTGGTGTCCACGCTGGTGAAAAGCACAGTCACTGAGGGAGGTGTCTGCCCAAGTCCTGGAGCCGGCACTGGTGGCCGCTCACCTCTTTTGCTGGACTTCGGCAGATCTCTGCGGCCGAGGAGGGCGTAAGTACCCCAGCGGCAGCTGAACGTGCCCACCCTGCGCCCTTGCCAGCGAGACTCGCCTAGAACGCTTTTGGCTGAGACCGGCAGGGGGCGTTCTTACGCCGGGCGCAAACGTGGCGCATGCGCTCCTGGCCGGCGGCGGCGCGCTCATTGATAGGGATGGGAGGGGCTTTTCGCTGAACTCCTGAACGGGCGGAGTAGCTCAGACTGGCCCGAAAACGAGGGGTATATAAGGCTCTCGCTTTTGACCCGACGGCGCTGCTGCGGCCGAGACAGTCCGGGGGCGGCAGAGCGGTAGTTCCGCCAGGGTCCGAGGAGAGGGTGTCGTGCTGGCCCTGCAGGTACGGATCCGTCTCTGACCGGGTGGAGGGGAGAAGCAGCACGACAGCAACACTAAGTAATAGCAGCGGAGGCAGCAGCCGCCTTCCGCGGGGAGCCACGGGACTAGTGTAGACAGAGAGGGGCGACTGGCCGGCAGACTAGCTGCAGGGCCGGCATCTGAATGACATGAGCCTCTCTTCTTTAGCGCTTACCTACCCGTCGAGCCTGGGCAGAGCAACCCCCGCGTCCGGCCGGACGTGAGTCTCTCTGAGCAGGGGGTGGCTGGGTGGGTAGCTGGGTGCACTTTTCTTTCTCATGCATCTGCGCCCTGCTCCTCAACGCGCCCTCAGGGGTGGGAGTGTGAAGGGTCGCTCATGCTCGAGTCTCCTTGGCCGCGATCGTCTCCCTGCTTGCTTCGGGCAGAGCTGGACGCCGTGCCAAAGGGCATCCCGTTTGGAGCGGGCGTGTTGCTGCTGCTGCGCCGCGAGTCTGGTATTTTGCTCATGGCACCAGGATGTAACTGGCGTTGTCGGCTTCCTGTGACGGATCAGAGCAGGAGCGTCATGTTTTGTGGGAGTGAGCGGGAGCGCGGCTCCTTGGAAGAACTGTGCGCCCATCTTTGAATTTGGGAAAGGGGCTGGTGCCCTCCAGGTGTATTGACTGAAGCGTGCTAGGACTTGTCAATACATCTGGAGGGGACCTGCTCGAGGTAAACTGCTATAGACTTTCGAGTACGAGAAAATGTGGGTTTCTCACTGGAGGACTGTATATATGCATGCTCTTGCACATGTACCTCTCCATTAATGTGCTTCTCGCTATACCTATTCCTGTCATTCATCTAAAACAGCTTCTAAGCTTCTGTAACCTAACATTGCAACATGTTTGGAAGTTCTGAATTCCTAAAGTGCTGTGAACAGCATTGCTCCCATGGTGGAATCTGCCCTGGTCACTTTTAAGATAGCAAAGCAAGCCTGTTCTCTGGGACTGAATTACAGGATTTCTTAAACTTAAGCGTCTTGTGCCCTGATGTGCTTGCTTTTAAATCTTTTTAAATTGTGGCTTTAAGAGCTCGTGTGATGGAATTGTCTGCCATGCACCAGGAAGCTTCACAGCCCTGCTTTTAAGACCTGCCGTCTTGTGTTCAAATTGGGAATACTTTTGGAAGGGGAGCCATGGAAGGCAAAGTATCTCTGCATATCAGATGCCGAGGGCAAATAATCTTGTATGATGTTGCCCTCTTGTGCCCCAGTTCTGAGTTTCAAGAGGCATGTGGCTGGACATACTCAGGAATGGGTTGTTAGCCTAAGCAGTTTCTGGAGGTAATCCATCAACAATCTTATGACTAGCAAAAGCAGGCTTCTGCAACCTGGTGCCCTCCAGATGTATAGGACTGTAACTCATGCCCAGTGGTTATGCTGGATGGTGGTAATGGGCGTGGCAGGCCAATGTATCAGCAGGGCACCACAGTTAGGAAGGCTGATCTAAATAACTGTGGTTTCCTGTTGTTACGATGTGCTGTCAAGCCATTTCCAACTTATGGCAATTCTTTGAATGAAAGCCCTCCAAAATGCCCTATCTGTGACTGCCCTGCTCAGCTCTTGAAGGTGTCCTGCCTGCCTCCAAACCATTTTCTGTCTGTGTATTTACAGCAAGGATGGCTAGTAATAAAGAAGACAAACTTATTCTATTGTTCTGTTGATTCAAAGAATTTGTGTCCCTTTATGATCAAGAAGACCAAGCAAGGTTCTAGCAGTAATGTGAAGGACTTCCAACTAAGGCAAAAGGCAGTTTCTGAGGTGTTTGGCTCCTTATTTCTCTCAAGAATAGTGTGGCTTGGGCATGTCACTTTGTTTATAGCTCAGTTTCCTTTAAAAAACCCAAAACAAAGCAAAATAGCAAGAGGAGCAAGGTAAAAGGAGTTTACTAAGGAACTGGTATAGAGGGGGGAGTGCAGCATTTTCCTGTTGAGCTGGTCTGTTTATTGCTCATCTAGGTCTTTCATTTCTTTGATGGCTGTCAGCTGGATCCACCAAATGAAAAATAAATCTGGACATCTTCTGGAGACAAGCAGGCATACCATAAAAAGGGAAGAAACAGAGGCTGACCCTTCTTCGCCGTACCACTGCCCTGTAGTCCCAAATGACCTTGTTGAGAGAGGGCAAGAGAAGAGAGCTCCTGATGCTTGCCAACTATTGAGGATTTAATATGGCAGTTTCAGTTTTCTTGAAGCTTATAGAGAGCTGTTGTGCAAAGTGGGAAACTATGTACTTGGTGACTTTCATTTAGCCTTCCCCAACATGGTGTCTCCCAGATGTTTAGGGGCTGCACTTCCCATAATCCTGTACCATCAGTGATGCTGGCTGGGGTGGGTGGAAATTTATTTGCTAACACAGAGTTACAACAAATTAGTATGACACATCGAGGAAAATTGAAAGCCCTTCTGTTTTGTGCTATGTTTATAGATGTTGCAGGCCAGTGTTTATCTTCAAGTTGCTTTATGGAGGATGAGTGATTTTCATGTGTTAAATCATGCAAAGCATTTGGTGGCTGCTTTTTAAAAATGAAAAATCCATAATCCTTAATGTTGGTACTGGCTAAGGTGTGGTAATCTTTCTGGGCTTTTAAAAGCTGCAGCACAGCTTGCTGTGTCATTCATTGGGTAATTCTTGCCTTCTTAAGTATCACTGGGATCTAGCCCCTTTTCTCTCCAATATCCTCATTTGATTCCTGTTTTTAAATCCATGATGAGTACAGTACAGATGTCAGGATCAACACCGCTACTTTAATGGTCACTGTGAGAATTTGAACTAGATGTAAGCTTGAAATAATTGAGGTAGCTTGTACTTCTTTCTTTTTCATTTCCTTCTAACCTCAGTGTTCCCAATTCTATATCTGCCAAAGTAGGATAATGCTTTCTAAATCTGATCATGTTAACTCTGGTCCATGAGAGCTTATGGCACAGTTATGTTTTTTAGCCTTTAAGATGCCACTTTTTTTTTCTTTATACTGTAGCAGACAGACATGGCTGCTGCTTCAGAGGGTCTGTTGTTCTTGTCCTGCTCACCAACCACTTCCCAGGAATGCCCATCTGTGCATGTAGACCTCCTGTCTAGCTAGATTGGCCCCTTGCTTCCATGTTTGGTCCCTTGCAGCCTGGGGGTGGAATGGCCTTTCTCTTCTCACTTCTATCCTGGATCCAGTCTCATGTCTCTTGCTCCTTTCTCTGTGCCTGGACACCTGAGGTTGATCCAGATGCTGTTTCCCTCACAAGTGCATGCCCCATTGCTTCAGCAGTGCCAGAGCTACTAGGTATCACCGGAGAGTGCCATGCCTGCCTAATCCCAGGATGTCCGCACTGGCACTGCTTGGCTGAGGATGCCACAGCCTCAGGATCCTAGCAGAACCTCTGGCCAGGTAAAGCCGCTCCCATGACGAGAAGGGAGGCCCAAGGCATTCCTCCTCCTGCCACTGGTGGCATACAGCCCCGTCCAGGCATGTTTTGCTGACTTGGCCTGAGGAGGAAGCAGGAGAAATCAAAGCTCCTAGCCCCATCCCAGCAGAACACATTCTTCCAATGTTCCCATGGAGAAGAAAGCCTTGAGCTGCTGTCGCTGCAGTCCTCCAAACTGAAGCTGGTTTGCTGAGAGGGACCTCTGGAGTGGTGGTGCCATATATCCCCTGTCGGTCTGTCTGTCTGTGGAAAGGAGCTCTGAAGGCCCTTCAGGACCTCCCATTACAGCTCTTTCATTTGTCCTAGATGGGGATGGCTGCTTAGATCCCTGTCCAAAAGAACACGATGTTTCTGTTCTGGTGCGTTTATGTTTTCCCCCAGGTCTGTCTTAACTCCTCCTTTAGACCCAGCAAGAAAGTATTTCATGTTTGCATTAGTTTGCATTTGCATTTCTCCCAATCTTGATGAGCAACTCGTGGAGGATGACAGCGTCGTTTTGCAGGCCCTTATATAGGCAATAAACTGCCTGGGGGAGAATGGGGGAGGGTGAAGGAAGTGATTTGTGTCCAAAAGCGATCGTGTCTACTTGCTTGCTATATAGTGCGGGTGTTTCCACTAGTATGCTGTGAGCCTAGCAGAAGGCATCTCTTCCTAGATAACTAGGAGGAGCACATTCAGGGCTTTGCCCCCTTTTTCTTGTTTGGCTGGCGGCTGTCTAAAGCACAGGCTGTGGCAGCAGAGCACGCCTCCTAACCCCGGGAGTTCCCTATCCCATCATTTTCTCAAGTCTGCGTCTCTTCTGCTAGCTGTGGCAGTGCAGTCCATTAAGAATGGCTTTTCGGACCACACTGTGATTTGACATTACTGTGATGGAGGCCGTGCTCTGCCTTGTCCAATTAAAAATAAATGCGTGCAGTTCCCGGTAGCCTCCACTGTTGAGGAGCATGGCCAAATCACACTGTGTGTGTGTGTGTGTGTGTGTGTAGCAGTTAAACCAGGTTGGTCCTGGGAATACAGTCATTTGGAATGGGCACTGATTCCAGCACTGATCATGTGACTAGGTTGTCATCTGTGATTGTTCCTGCACTCTCTAGTGCAGCCTTCCCCCTCATGGAGCCCCCAGAGGTTTTGGACTTTGAGCCCATTTGGTGTATTTATTTGATGTTTGTGATTCTTCACAGTAGTTTGCGGGTGCTTTACACACCACTGCCATCTTCCAGGACCTTTCCAGTTCTTTGCAATCATTTATGTGGCTTTTTAGATTAAGGAAAACTTGGCATTACTTGTGGAAGGTGGCATGAAATCCTTCAGCATTTGTACAATTCTACTGTAATACAGCACCACATAGTGCTTATATAATGGAACATATAGCAAAACAGAGACATCCCTGGAAAAAAAGCTGTGTAAAGGAGCCAGTATTAATCCCACGAAGAATCCAGAGGCAGGACCCCCAGTAAAGTGGCAGGTTAAAAAGTAGCATGTAAAAAGGTACTTCGACTCTCATCACCCTAGCTCATGGTCATCAATCTTAGGAGTGGTAGTCCAAAATATCCAAAGAGTAGCAGGTTGTGGGGAGGCTGCTCTGGTGCTGAAGCCCTTTGACTTCAGCTGACCCAAGCCAGGCTGGGCCACGGTTTAAAATAAATGCATCCCAAACCCATCTGGGCATGAGGGTCTTTGGTTGGCAGAAATTGTCTGAATATGGAAGACCAGCCTTGCTACCACAGTGGGTTTTTGAGGGCTGAATTTAGAAGGCACCTCCTCCTTGCTTTTGTGTGCATATTTTGCCTCTGCTGTCAAATTCTAGTGCTCTGCTGCACTAGCATGAGCTCTGAAGGCTTCCCTGGAACTGCAAGTATTGCTTTGGGGCAAGCAGGGGAAGCATTGATGGGGAGAGCATGAAGGACTACAGTTAGGCCCGATGTGTGCAGTAGTCACACCAGAGCTCCTGCCCCAGAGTTTCTCTTGTGCAGCCGGTGCTCTCCTGCTCCTGTGACCTTTAAGCTGATATTCCCTTCTCTTCCTCAGAAATGAGTGACATGGACTCGTACAAGGTGCTCTTGGATGGGCCGGCGCCATGGGGGTTTAGGCTGCAGGGTGGCAAGGACTTCAACATGCCGCTCTCCATCTCCAGGGTAAGTTGCGAGTTGTAACCTGATGCCCCCACAAAGGTATCATTCCTCTCCTTCAGGCCTCCCCCCATCCTGTAGGATGTCAGGGGGTCCTGGTTGTGCTGTTTTGCCACTGCTTCCACATGTCTCTTCACACGAAGTTATTTTTGGTGCTTCCAGACAAGGTGTTAGTGGTGCAATTGCCTTGCTTTGTACACAGAATTTTCTGGGGGTGGGGGCAGATAAAATTTTCTTCCAGCTGTAACCATCCCATGTTTTCCTGCAATGTTTTCTGGTTTTACTTACCAAAAGCTCCATACAAGGGGTGAAAGGTGGAGCGGATGCACTGTGCCTTTTGATTGGTCGTGGCAGCAGCTCCCCTTCTGAAAACCCTCTGCCAACCAAGGGTCAAGGGGCCCTGGCTGCCCACCTCATGACGTAATGAGAGGGCCATTTGCATCAAGGCTGTTACTTGATATCGGGCTCCTTGAGGCTCCCACATTCTATTTCTGGGTCTGTGGCAATGATTCTTGCTTGCGGCTGGGTAGAGATAACTCTCCACAGGAAGGAGCTGTGGTAATGTTAGCACATGCATATTCCTACTGTTCAGCTTCTGATGCCAAGAAGTGTAACTTAGTAGATCTCACTGCCCGTTTCCAGAGTGCAGTCATCTGGTTTTGACTTGTCGTTGGCAGCTGATTCTCTTGGTCCCTAATCAATCATGTCTCTGTCCCGATGCTGCTTTCTTTAGGTGTCCCTGTTGCATACTCACAAGCCGGCTGTGAGGGTGAGGTGGGGCTGACCTCTGAAGGATAGGGAATGAGAGATACAGCCACTCTCCTCTTTGGATCTCAGCTCATTCCAAGCAGCAGTCTGTGCTGGGGCAGATGGGAAACTTCACTAAAGTTTCCCATCCTCAGTCCATCCAGCAAAGCTCAGGGAACCAAGGTTGCATTTAGATGCCAGGAAGCACTTCCTGACAGGACCCTGAGGGTATGGAATGAGCTTCCACGGGACATGGTTCAGGCCGCATCGGTGAGGGTGTTCAAAGATAGGCTGGACATGCACATGGCGGGCATGTCGTGAATGGAGCTGGCTGGAGCCGGGGGTCAGACTAGATGGCCCAGGAGACCCCTTCTGACTCGCTCTGTTTCTGTGTTTTTATGTTCATCTTAATCCTGTTGACCAGAATGCTAAGCATTGTACTAGAATAGCCTTCCCCATGCTGGCTGGGGATGATGGCAGCTGTTGTCCATCACATCTGGAGCTTACCAGATTGGGGAAGATTGTGATAGACACTGGGGGGCGCAGGGTATTGGTAAGAGAACAATGCAAGGGAGGTGTGTACTGGAGCTCCCCACCCACAGCACCCACAGGTATCTTGAATGGTGCTTGGGAAGTAGTCTCCAAAACTTTGCCTTTAGGTACCCATATTTTTTGCATTTTTCTTTTTCTTTTGTTTTTTAAATAACTGTGCATAGATTTTTATGAAATACATACAACTTTCAAGCAACTATACATTGCCTTCAAAAAAGCAGATCAAACATCCAAATTGATATCCATTCGAAATTGGTATCTATATTGAAAGTATTGTAAGGTCCTCAGTCCATTTAATTAGTGAACATGAGTGTTTTATTAATTAAATTTGTTTATCCTTTCAATTTTACAACATCCATCTTTTCATGCCAAAACGATATAGAGAATCTACTTATGCTAGTCATTTATTACTTTCCATGAAGCAGGTAAATTTAGAAATGTATACATCAGCAAATATTAAAGACTGTTCTAGTTCAAAATTTATGCATATTATAACCCTCTCCCAAAAGAGAAGCAACTACTGATATTGCCAAACATATGTTCAGAAGAAGCATTCCCTGTATTATGCTACCAGCAATGAGTTGAATGAGACAATCCTTTATTATAGAGACGTTGAGGCATCCAACAGACACAAAACAATTTTGCTGAATAAAGCATTCCTTAAGATCTATAGACAGAACAGGGAGATGTCGAAGTGTCTATCCACAGAATAGGCATTTACTGGTCCTGCCTGCAGCAGGATCTCAAATTCCCAAATGTGTTCACAGGTCTAAAAAGGCTGGGGAAACTTGGTGTAAATGCAAATTCCAAATGAGGCCTGATGAGCCATATTCTGAGGTTTCCTCTAAACATGCAGGGCTTTTAAAGATGCAGTAGCCACTTTATGTTGCTAGTTGCGAAGTCGTGTCCGACCCATCACAACCCCATGGACAACATTCCTCCAGGCCTTCCTGTCCTCCACCATCCCCCGGAGTCCACCTAAGCTCACACCAACTGCATCAGTGACTCCATCCAGCCACCTCATTCTCTGCCATCCCCCTCTTCTTTTGCCATCTATTGTTCCCAGCATTAGGCTCTTCTCCAGGGAGTCCTTCCTTCTCATTAGGTGGCCAAAGTATTTGAGTTTCATCTTCAGTATCTGGCCTTCTAAAGAGCAGTCAGGGTTGATCTCCTCTAGGACTGACCGGTTTGATTGTCTTGCTGTCCCAAGGGACTCTCAGGAGTCTCCTCCAGCACCACAATTCAAAGGCCACTTTATAGCTACCTTCATTTTCCCATCTGTAATATGGGAATTATATTCGTCTGGTATTAAGGATATGCGTGAAGTATTTTCAGCACTTAGGACAGGGGTGGGTAGTGTTTGGCACTCATCCAGATACTGCTGGACTGCAGCTCTCATCATGCCTAGCCAGCATAGCCTGTGGTGAGTGATGGTAGGAGTTGCAATCCCACCAGCACCCAGAGGGCCACAAGCTTTGCACCCCTGACTTAGGAAAAGCTACTACTAAGTATTCTATTTTATTAAAACTAGCAACTCCCACCTCCTTGATGTTTGCGAAGACTTTCTTGATTCTCCACGCTCCTTGCTGGTGCACGTCTGGCTTTCTTTCTGGGCCTGGAGGAGCCCCTTCCGAAAGAGGCTGTCTCTTCACAAGAGTGACTCCTGCCCAGAAAGTGCCTCTCTCGGTTGGTTTTGGGTACAAGTGAGGCTGTCACTGGATGGCTTGTAGGCAACTCCTCCTCAGCTTGGAATTACCTTATAAGCCTTGGAATGCTGAGCGCTGCCTCTGCTGACGCTCGCAGCCGCTTGGCGATGCAGAATGTTTCTCTATAAATTGGAAGCCCCAAAGGCTAGAGAAAGGCACCATAAAGCCCCCTGTGCTCCAGAGCCAAAACCTCGCCCTGTGCTCTGGGCCCACCATCACAGCTCTCCCGCCCTCTCCCGGCATGGTCTAATTTCCCATCTAGCGTGTTTTGCTGTGAAGGAGGTTCTGTTTGTACTTTCTGCTGCTCCGTTCCTATGAAACTGTTCTTCTAGCCCATCTCTGGGGACACTACTCTGCTTTCTTGCTTTGAAGGGCTTTGTGCTGAGATAGCCTCTACTGTTTTTGTTCTTCCCCCCGCCTCCCCCCCTTAAAGTTTCTCTTGGCTCATGGCCAGTTCATAACAAAGCCCCTGCCTAGACAGGGGAGAGCCTCTCTGTGGAGAGACCCCAGCCAGTGCCTCCTGCAAACATACCAGACGAGAATAGCAGCCCCCTTTTGCTTGCGATAGCATGCTGTAGCCCATCCCTCTCACCGACGGTATGAGAGCTCCCTTTGTGGCTGGGTCCCGGGAAAGCTTTCTCTGCTGCACTCCTGGGTTATGTGGCTGGTTGCACCCACTAATTAAGGCATCCTGGCCAAGGATGGCCAGTGTAGGTTGCCTAGGCCAATGCACTGCTTCTTGGGCAGCTGCAGAAGGGAAACCCGCCTGTACTTCTGCGGGCTGGCTCTCTCCTTCTCGGCAGTTCTGTCGGTGTCAGGAACGCCTCCTGGGAGAGTGTTGTGTTGTGCTGGCTGTGCGGATACACACACGGGAGCCCGGCTGTTCTGGGCTTTTAGAAGGAACATCCTCCTCCTCTTTGTTATCAGTGTATTTGTAGGCTGCTTTTCCAGTTTAAAACCATGCCAAAAGCAGCTTACAGCAGCACCGGGAAATAATTTACATCATAAAATCCAACCGTGTTTTCAGAGAAGTCATTCAACAGTGACAAGTCATAACAAAATCAGAATTGTCATACAAACAGGCTAAGCATCTCATGTTAATAAATGTACCCAGATTAAAGCATTTCACCAAAGCCTAACAAAAGAGAAATATGAATCAGCTTAATTATCATTTCACTAACTGCAAAAAGAATACACCCTGTCAAACCTGAATTTAGCCCTAGCTGCCAAGACTAAGCCACATCCATGCTACAAGACCAAATCTTTACTGTCTTGAAGGAGCTTCAGGAGCAGAAGAACCCTTTGAAGCTAGAGTTAGTCAAGGCCCCGGACCTCCCAGGCAAAGTGGAAGTGACCCAAGCAGAGGAACGGAGACTAGGACCACTAGCTAGGTAGTCCAGCTAGATGGTCCATTGCGAGATTTCCAGTTCTCACACTTCAGCTCATTTTGGTTGCATTCTTCACTGTCCTGGAACAATCCTTGCATGTTTTACTCCATGCGCATGTTTCCTCTGCCTGGCCGGCAGATGTGGGATTCTGCTTAATAAGTGCATGCCAGTGGGGAGTCAGACAGTACGGTAGGAGTTGGACAATTGTGAGGGTGTGAAGTAGCAGGAATGATGAGCAGGTTTTCTAAAATACATTCACAAGCCCTCAAAAATCACCAAGGCCTATGGATGCATCAATATAAGGCCATAGGTAAGGAGGAAGAAGTGGGTGGAGGAAAACAGACAACATGAAACTTTGCTCCAGCCATAAAATGTAAAAGTACATATCTCTTTCTTTAGTGAGGTAAAAGGTCTTTCATGGAAAACTGGAAGCAGAGTCCAGTTGTGGGATCTGTACCATTCAGGTTTTCTTCCACTGGTGCTATTGTCCCGATGGTGTTGGAGTCCTAATCTTACATGATCGTTTTTATTTATTACACTTACATTCCACCTTTCTTTGACCATGGAACTTAGGGTGGCACATGTAGTTCCCAGGTGGTTTCCCCTCCAAGCA